CTCTTCCTTGTATGTTTTTTAGAATTCTGCTGGAAAGCCATTTGGTCCAGGGCTTCTTTTTGTAGGTATTTTTCATATGACAGAGTCAATTTCCTGGATTGTTATTGGTCTAATTAGTGTCTCAGTGTCTTCTTGTTTCAGCGTGGGGAGGTTGTGTGAAGTCAGAAAGTCCTCCATTTCATTAAGGTTATCAAGTTTGTTTCCATATAGGTATACATAGTAATCTCTGATAATCTTTTGTATTTCTTTGGGGTTAGTTGTGATTCAATTTTTTGTATTTTGGATTGTATTTATGTGGGCTTTTTTTCTCTTTTTCTTGGTCATTCTGACTAGGGGCTCATCAATCTTGTTAATTCTTTTAAAGAACCAGCTTTTTGTTTGGTTGATGTTTTCTATGATATATTTGTCTTCTATATCCATATTTAGGCTCTTATTTTGGTGATGTGAATTCTTCTGCTAAAGTTGGGGTTTTGGTGGTCTTTTCTTTCCAGCTCCCTTAGGTGATTTGTTAGGCTCTCCACTTGTGATCTTTCCACTTTCTTGATGAGTGCTCGTAGAGATATAAATTCCCCTCTTAGAACTGATTTCATGGCATCCCAAAGGTTTCGGTAAGATGGTTCTTCATTTTCATTTGTTTCCAGGAATCTTTTAATTTCTGCTTTGATTTCAGTGTTGACCCAGTAGTTGTTCAACATCATGCTGTTTGGTGTCCTTTATCTTTGTGGGCTTTGGGGAAATTTTGTTGGTGTTGATATTTATTTTTATTCCACTTTGGTCTGAGAATGTGCATGGCAAGATTTCAACTTTATGGAATTTGTTTACGCTAGATTTATGGCCAAGGATGTGATCGATCTTGGAGTATGTTCCATGTGGTGATGAGTAGAATATATTTTGTGGTTGTTGGGTGGAATAATCTATAGGTATCTATTAAGTCCATTTGGTAGAATGTCAACTTTAGGTTCTGGATCTCCTTGTTGATTTTTTACCTCAAAGATCTATCTAGGACTGTTAGTGGGGTATTCAAGTCCCCTGCTATGATAGTGTTAGAGTCAATATCTTTTTTTAGTTTACTTAGTAGTTACTTTATAAATGCTGGTGCTCCTGTGTTAGGTGCATATATGTTTAGAATTGATATTTCTTGTTGATGGATTGAAACTTTGATCATTATGTAGTGTTGTTTTTCATCTATTGAAATTTTTGATAGCTTAAAGGTTGTTTTGTCTGATATTAAGATTGCAACTCCTGCCTTCTTTTGTGATCCATTTGCCTGGAAACTCGTTTTCCATCCTTTAACTTTGAGTCTGTGTGCATCCCTTGTAGTAAGATGAGTCTTCTAGATGCAGCAAATAATTGGGTCATGGTTTCTTGTCCAGTTTGCCTTTTTCAGTGATGCATTTAGTCCATTCACATTCAGGCTGATTATTGAAATGTGATTGTTTATTGCTGTCATGAGGTTCTTTTCTTCGTTTGTTTGTTTTTACTTTGGGGTTAATGTATGTGTATATTTTCAAGTTTCTTGTTGCACTGTATTCTCTGTTGATTCTGTACTCTGCTGTTCTCTTGGGAAGTGTGTGGTCATTCTTTTTTTTCTTTCTTCTGTCCTTAATAGCTTTTTAGGTGGATCCTGCAGAGCAGGTCTGGAAGCTGCATAATCTCTTAGGATTGGATGTCTGGGAAGGATTTTAATTCTCCATCACTGATGAAGCTGAACTTGGCTGGATAGGAAATTCTCGGTTGAAATTGTTTATCTTTGAAGACTTTGAATATAGGGGTTCAGTCCCTTCTTGCTTGTAGTGTTTCTGCCAATAAGTCTATTGCTGTTCTGATTGGCTTTCCCAACTAGGTAGTTTGATCTTTCCCTCTTGCTGCCTTTAGGATTTTTTTCTTTTGTGCCTACTTTGTGTAGGTGAATTATTATGTGTCTAGGGGTTGGTCTTCTCATTTGATATCTTGTGGGGGGTTCTCTGTTTCTCTTGGTCTTGGCTGGTCACATCTCTGGTGAGATGGGGAAAGTTTTCTTGGATTACCTCCTCCTCGAATACTTGCTCCAAGTTGTTCTCCATTTCCCTTTCTTCTTCTGGGATACCAATCAGGTGTAGGTTTGGCCTCTTGATATATTTGCAAATCTTTTGTAGGCTTTGTTCTTTCTTTCTGAGTCTTCTTTCTGTGTTTTTTACAGATCTGGTTAATTACATGTTCTGGTCTTCAAGTTCTGAGATTCTTTCTTCAGCTAGATTAATTCTGCTTTCCATGCTTGTCATCTTGTTATTTCCTGGATGAAATGTTTTATTGTCAAAATCTCTGTTACAAGTTTTTCCAGTGTTGCATCTTGTCTTTCTTGAGTCTTATTCACTCTTTCCATCCATTCCCTAATCCCTGTCATATACTGGGGCCGGTCATTGGTGACTTCCATTGTTTGGGCACTAAGGTCTGATTTTCCGGAGTTTTGTCTTTAGTACACTTGAAATTACCTGAGGTCTTCCTTTGGTTTTTCCTCATTTGTGACAGAACTCTTTGTTTTTCTCTTTAGTTCTGTTACTCAGTATCAGTGGGAGAGGCTTTCCCTCTGATGTTTGCTCAGTCTTCTATTCTTCCCTGATCCGGGCTCTAGATTTGTTCACTGATCTCTTTGGAGTTCTTCCTTGTCCTTTTCTGGCCATACCCTTTGCCCCATGGCTGGATCAGGGTAGGGGGTGGGGCACCTGGAACTCAGCATTAGTCAAGTCCCTCCAAAGTTTGTGCTTTCAGGATAGTCCCTCTGGGTCATATCAATCACCGAGTGGTTGATCCTCCAGTCACAGAGATTGGGTCTGTTCCTCCGTGGTGAGCAAGTCAGAGTACTTTCCTGCCCCACCTTCAAAATGGTGGTGGGGTGCCTCTGTTGTTCTCTTCCATGGGACTTTGCCTCTGGATCTCCTCCAGCGCCTGCTGCCAGTTCCCTGCCAGTGCCCTGCTAGACACTGAAATGGTGAGGCAAAGCCAGGAGCCAGCAGTCTCTCTCCTGCTGCAATGGTGAGGGAGAACCTGGAGCGATGGTTTCTCCCCACAGATTTTTTGCAGAAAAACTTTTATCCATTTAAAAAAAAATACTGGTTCTCAGCTTCTGCAACCTGGAAAGAGCCAGGGATGAAGCAGAGAAGCTGCAGCACCAGCTGTTGCACCAGGACCCTGGTCACTTGCTCATGAGTCCCCACTTAGACAGTATCTCCCAGAGTTTTCTTCCTAGGGAGAGTTTGTTGATTTTTTAAGAAAAGAAAGAAAATGGTGCTTGGCTTCTGCATCCCGGGAATTGTTAGGGTCCAAGCCAAGCAGCTGTGGCACCAGCTGCTGTACCAGGAAAGCCCTGGCCACTAGCTCCCTAGCCCTCACTCAGTCAACCACTCACATGCCCACTTGATCACCAGCACGTACACAAAATTTTCCATAAACTCACTCACACCGGGACTCTCATGGTCTGACTGGCTTGGCTGCCATTTTCTCTTAGTTTCTCAGCATTTTTGACATTTTAAAAACAAATTTTTAAAAATAAATATTTAGCTTTCAGTGATCCACTTTATCCTTTTCACAAATCAAGGCAGTCTACAGTGAGAAGGCACCCTCACCCTAATCCACCTACTGCCTTGTCAACTGATCATAAAGCTATGTGTTTGTGCTTTGATTTATCTGCCACTTTCTGTTGTTTTGATATGTACATTCAATCTCAAAACCAGAACAAAGGTAAATAAATATCGTCTACTTTGTTTTCCTCTTTCAACACTTTAGAGATTGGAAAATTTACAAAATAAATATCCTCATAACTTTTTTTTTAATGCATTGCAAAAGACAGAAAGAATAATTGACTAATAGTTTTTTAAAATTTAAAAATACCCAGCTAGGGCACAACCAAATGACAAATATCTATACTGATATTACTTTGAAAATAATCAGACAGCAATCTTAAAAATTGGATCTATGATTCTTAACTAGCTATTAATTTTATTTGACAAATAAGCTTAAATATGTTCAATGTATTTGCACAGAAATAAAAGAACTCATAACATAAGTGTTGATAGGTAATAGATTAATGAAAATGTTTTGGAAGAGAATGAAATCATTTCTTTTTTTGGGGGGGGGTTGGAGTCTCACTTGGTCGCCCAGACTAGAGTGCAGTGGCCGCTCCTGGCCACCGCAGTCTCGCCTGCTGGGCTCCAGCAATCCTTCCACCTCAGCCTTCTGAGTAGCCGAAATTACAGGCACGCGCTACTATGCCCGGCTAATTTTTTGATTTATTGTAGAGATGAGGTCTCGCTGCCCAGGTGGGTCTTGAACCCGCGGGCTCAGGCAATCCACTCACCTCAGCCTTCCAAAGGCGCGGGATTACAGGCTGAGCCACCAAACCCGGCTGAATGTAATCATTTCTAAGCTTCCCATCAAATATCAAACTACTAAGTGAGTATAGTCCTTGGCCTTGATGGGAGACAGTGTCACTGGACTTGGCAATAAGATGCTTTCAAGGAAACTAGCGAATTAATCTTATATTTCTCCAATTACCTGGGCCTGGCTGAACTGGTATTTACTAAGCTCTGGCCAGAAAAGCTTCAGAACACATGAGGTAATCATCCTGAAATCTACCACTTATGAGTAGTTGAGATCCCCTTCACTACTACTTCTCAAGAAAGACTGTTTCTTTCATGAGATTCACCACTGACTCCCCAGCCACATGGTTTGAGAGCACAACTCTGTCACTGATTATCCTCTTTGGGTCATTATATACAAATCAGCCACCACGCCCATGTACATCTCTGCTCAAAAACCTTCACCTCCACAACAAATGTTAGACAAATTCCACTCTCTAAAATACAATTTAAGATTTGGAATCGAATCTCAAACTTGTCTTGCCTATAAAGGAGAGTCTTCCTCACAGAGACGCCAATGAATGGTGCATTGAATACAATAACAAGTCCTGCCCACACAGGTAAGCATGTGAGTTAGAAATGCCCAGACAGCAGAAGGACACTTACGGTTGGCACAGCTTGATTAGGTCCTGGTCAGTGGTGCCGGGTGGGAGGCCTCGAATGTACAGGTTGGTTTTACTCAACTGTTCCCCGCTGCTGTTGCTGCTGTTGTTGCTGCTGCTGTTTGTGCTGGGGCTGGGAGGAGCCATGGGGTGGGGAGCTGGTGCATAGGACTGCTGGAAACAGAAAAGGCTGTTACTGGAAAAACAAAAGCCAGCACCTGCTCACAGGCCAGCAGCACAACTCGAAAGCAAGGTAAGTGTCTCATCCGCTCCATCACACACATGCTCACACACACACATATTTATATCAATGCTCTATATTGCATCATGTGTTTCCCCCATTCCCCCCGATCCTCCTTTGAATCAGCGTAAGTCAGCCATAAACAGGACAAAAAGAAATAACAAGGTGATCCTGACAACAGCACATGGCATTTGAATTTGTCCCTGACTACTGTGACTCTCCTTAGGCCTGTAAAAGTAGCGTATCTACCTCCCTGGCAAAAAAAAAAACAAAACTTCACTCTGGCATCAATATTCTGCCCCTGGCTTACCTTTAGTTGTCAAACATCTTTGGTTTGCCTCTACTCCTTTGTTTCCTCCTTTTCTCTAAAGAAACCTCTTACATCGCTTTCCTCACCATTACTATTCAGCACAGATCTAGATACATAGAAATCAGTCTATAGATCCTTGGCCCCCTTCCCTACCTTGTGTGAGGTGAATCTCTCCTCTTTCTCTTCTCTCTCCAACTTCTAAATTAAATTCTATTTTCCAATTTTAAAAAATCAGTCTATAAATAGCGGTTCTACGAATAACTGAATGAATGAGTCCATCTTAGCTCTTTCCTTCATTCTCAAAACTGTTTCTTCATGTTGAATATCTCTTGCTTGCAAGGCTGAACCACTATTCTCCCCTTACCTGCAGGATCCTCTTTAAATTAATCTAGGATCTCAAGCTAGGCACTATGGACCACCTGGACAGGATAACTATTTTTTGTGGGTCCTGCTTTGTTCATTGTAGAATGTTTTGCAGCATCCTTAGCCTTTACCCTCTCCACGTTCTAGTAGCATCCATCCCTCAGTTATGATGACCAAAAATAACCCCAGACATTGCTCCATGATCCCTGCTTACAGTGAAGTCTTCCCTGTTAGAGAACCACTGTTTTCATTGGTCAGACCATTGTATGGCAAAATGAAAATGATAAAAGGACTCAGAAAACCGGGATATAAAATATGAGGGTGTATATAATTACACGTGCCAGAATTAGTATATATATTTACTCATTATGCTTATTTCTTCTTCATACAGGCATATCTTCAAAAGTTCTCAACTTACACTGACTGTCTAGGTTGAGTCCCTGCTGTGCCTCTTATTGGCTATGTGATATTTAAATAGTAGCCTTAACCTCTCTGAGACTCAACATTCTTTCACATGAAGAGGGTCATAATAGTACTCTCCTAATGTTATAATTTCTTAAAAAAAATAAAGTTAGTGCAAAAAAATGGTTCTTGGAAATTAGTCAGTGTGCAATAAAAATTAGAAAAAATAATAATAATGTAATTCTTTTCAGGTTGTGTCTGTCTGTTATGTGATATAGCCTATATAACGATCTCAGATTTTCCCCATAGTAACCCCAAATGTTACCCAAAGATACAATGGGCACATTTATCAAAATTCCAATGGAAAACATTTGGCTTGATTTTAACATGAAGACACATTAGAGTTGGGAAGTGTGTACTTATTCAACAACAAGTTTGGGGCACAATAGAAAAAGAGTATTTTCTCAGATGAGCTCAAACTACAAAACCCTTTTTTATTGCATGGAACAAAGATAAGGGATATTATGATAATTTAAGGGAAGAAAACCAAGAAAAAATGTACTTTTTGTCTCTATAGTCTCATTCTAAAAAAATCTTAAGAAACATAACCGGGCAACCCCTTCGGGTCCCCTCCCGCTGTGGGAGCTTTTCTATCCTCTCAATAAATCCTGCTTTCTCACTTAAAAAAAAAAAAGAAAAGAAAAGAAAGAAAGAAACATAACCAACCAACATAATACAGTCTTTTCATCCCAAAATTGTGCTGCAGCCCGAATTGAGAGGCCTACTGGGTACAGGTAAATAAAGAGATATCTCAGAAATAGAGCTGATTGTGGCCTCAATCATAGAAAGCTGAACTTCTTAAGTAGAATCCTGCAGTGGCCTCCCGATGGACTTATTAAAAAGTCCTGAAAGCCCCATATGATATTTTCTCTGACTTTCTCTCCAATCGCTTCTTGGACCAGACCCAATCACACTCGCAACTTTCCACCCTTCCTATTTTCAGCCCAACTCTACTTGGTTGGTGCTAACCTAGCTTTCTGATTTCAAATTAAGTATCACTCTACAGCACTCTTGTTTTCTTTCACGGTTTTCAACATATTTGGTCTTCATTTAGCATGTTTTTGGTTTACTTATTTAATGCTTGTCTCTAACACTAATCTGAATATTCCCCAAGAACAGGGAACATGTCAATAGCACCTAGCCTGGTGCCTGATATATAATAACTGCAATATACATAATGCAAATGAAACTAAGGTAGCACTTCACCTATGGAGACAGTAGGACAAGTTTTAGCAGTATCCAGTCTCATTTCTGGCTATAATTGTCTCTTTTTCATCTTCCAGGATTTCAGATTTGCCCAATCTCTATTTCCAATTGGCCATGAAGACAATGCTTCTCAGACTTAGTATACCAAGGTGCCACTCATTTCATCTATTCTCTCATTTCCCACCACAATTATTTAACATCTTTTAATGTTGTGCTTCCAGACTCCATGCTAGAAAACTTGGTGCTAGCTTCATTGGTTTTGTGATTCTAAATCTCAAAAAACAATCAGCCACCAAAATTTCTGACAGCCTTCTAGAATCATCCTTTCCTCTGAATTCCCATTGTTTTCCTAAAGCTAGAGTCTGTACCACCTCAGATGTAAAGGGTTTCAAATTTTCTACCATGTTTCCCCATTTATGTCTCTTTTACGTTGCTGGGGGCGGGCAGTCCACTGAAATAAGATTTTCCCCAACCATTTATTTGGTATGACTTATTTCAGTATCAACATTTTAAATGCAGAATTTCAAAATGAATTACACAAGAGAATACTTTTCCTGATATTTGAATAAGATGGAATATATTCATTGCCTTTTGGAATTCAATATCTGCATAAAGCTCAGGTTTCTTTGCTGGCATAAAAAGCTATGACTTACTTTCTGACATAAAGTATTCTGTTTCACTCCTTGGAATCCCCTCAACACTTAAGATCAACCTCTTTTAAAGCCCTGCACACAGTAGGCGTTCATTGCATGCTTACTGAAGCAGCTTCCTGATCTCTATCTCACAATGGGTCAGAAGGGATTTCTCTTTTACTTCCTTTATGTACTTTATTCCCTTAAAATTCCCAGGACCTTTTTAAAACTGTTTGCTGCCACTTTCACCTCCCCTCTTTCCAAATTCTTTGAATTCCATTCAGTACTCGGGCTTTTTTCTTTTTTTAAGAGACTTTGTTTAAAGCAGTTTTTCCCATTGCTTTGCCTTTGAAACCACCAGAGAGACAGAAAAATGTGTCCAGCTTTATGTATCACAGATTAGATGGACCAGTTCAGATTGAGTCCTTGACTGATCAAATAAGAAAGCACCAGCTACAGCATGATCAATATGTGTTTACTTAATTCTTTTTATCCCCCAGGGCTCTTTGTGAGCATTTCCATAACCAGAACACCATTTAGTAAATTGCATGATGCCTAAAACAATAAATGCATCCTCCAAAGGGCCCAGCAAATTCACTGGGAAAAAAAAATTAAAGAAAACAGTCAAAAGCAAACCAAAGTTGGGAAGAGAATAGGGAACTTATGTGTGTTGAAACAAGATATGCAATTTATAAATAGCACTGGAGGCACCATACTTATAGGGAAAGGATGTATCTCAGAAGCCATTTGGAAAGAATACACAATCAAAGATGGTTTTCTCTGTCACATTCTTGCTTGCAAATCCTAAAAATTCTGCTCAAAAGAGGTAGACTTTTGCAATGTTATTGAACCAATCAGTGAACAGATTTTAACACCCAGTGTAAGAATTCCACCATTTCTTTAATATTTCACTTATTGCTTGATGATGCACTGATTGAGCCGGGTAGCAGTCAGCATTGTAAATCATTCTTTGGTTATAAGAATTATAAATTCCTTCCTCTCCACCCATTTTCCAAATACACATCCTTTAATCAACAAAATGTTGGCAGAAGCTTCCCGGAATGCCTGACGAATGCACAGACCTAAATGAATTAATTTGTGAAAAGCAAAAGTGATTTTGTATGCTCTTGCTGCCAAAGACAGATGACCAAACTACAGCATCTTAAAAAAAAAAAAAATGGGAGGAGTGTCAATAATCTCTAGGGGTTAATAGGTCACAGCAGCCACTCTCCTGATTAAAGTGACTTGGCTTCCTCTCTCAATTCTTTGTCTTTAGAGGGATTTAGAATTTTATTATTGATTAGCTTTTAAATCATTTTGGGGCACTGAGGAAGGAATTTTGCAATGTTAGTAAAGAAAAATATTTTTCTTCAGATAAAATTGACTTTGCTATACTGCTAAAAGTCACACTTTATAAATCCTATTTAGGAGTAGGGAATTCTTAAGGTCTGGGGTTACTGAACACTGTACCACTATTATATAACAAGGCAAGGGGTTGCTATGAATTTGCAGTGTCAGCTGGATTAGAAGCAGTAGAAATGGCTGGTTTTCAGAAGGTTTTAGATGACATTCTGTGAAAAGAGATAGAGACTTTTCTAGAAGCTGCATGTGCTTGGTTAGTTTGCAGATTGTTTTCTAGATGTCTATTTATTGTGGCATTGCTTGGAGGTTTGGTTAAGGATTACAGAATAGGGACTAAAGCCCCTCAATCACCCATTAGGATCAGTGCCAGTCCCCCCTTTAGCTAATGAAATAAAATGACTTGGCATCCATTGTGGAAGATACCATTCCTAAAATAGTAATTCTAATAATTATAGGTAACATTTGCTGTATGCTTGCTATGCATTTTAAATGTTATATCTTCATAAAAGTCAAACGAGGCAATTATTCTTCCCATTTTGTAAATAAGGAAACTCAGGCAAAAAAGGATACAGGAACTTCACAAGGTCACACAGTTGCA